GCGGAGCCCCAGAGGGGTAATGGACAGGGGGCTGTTTGGCTGTTTACCTCCGTTGGGGGTCTCAGAGCTGTTGCCCAGGGGGTTAGTGCGCCTGGAGTTGCCTGGAATTTCCAGGTGCTGGACTGTGACCTGGGATGCTTCTATCCAGCTGTGGGGTCCCTGTCCCTTTAAGACTTTCAAAAAGCACTCACTTTTCTTTGTCACAGGGGCACTGGCTTCGGGACCCGCTCACAGGTCTTGCTGTTCTGTTTCCTTAGTTTCCAGCACTGTACGCATGCACTGTGTCTGTGCTCTGGTGTGGATGTCTAGGGCTGGGTGTTTAGCAGTCCTGGGCTCCCTCTCCCTCCCAGATCCAACTCCTCTCCTCCCACCGGGAGCTGGGGGAGGGGCACTTGGCTTCTGCCGGGCTGGGGCTTGTATCTTACCCCTTTCACCAGGTGCTGGGTTTTTGCAGGTGTGGATGTAGTCTGGCTGTTGTCCTGTCTCTTCTGGTCTCTCTTTTAGGATTAGTTGTATTTGGTGTATTTTCAAAAATATATATGTTTTTGGGAGGAGATTCCCACTGTCCTACTCACATCACCATCTTGCCTCTGCCTTGAAAATAACTTTTAAAATATTTCTTCTAATAATGTTCAGAAACTTTAAATAGAGTCTTCACTTTCCTCACATACTACTAAAGACATATTTTTTAAAGTAAGTAATACTATTATAAATATTCAGCACCAGTATTATGAAACTGAGTTAGAAGTAATTTATTTATATACTTGTTTGGTGATATTGCTAAAGTTGGTCACAAATACCTATTGCAAACCTCTATTAACATGTTATTTGAGTATTGTTTATGAACTTTTAAAGAGTAGAAAGGAGAAGGAAAGTTTTAATTACAGGTTTTCACTTTTTTCCTTTGTCTCTGTTAAATAAACAAAAGGGGCACAATAACTTCAAATGAGGACATGATAAAGTTGAACATTCTACACTAAACATAGTTGATAAAACATTAAGCTGATATTTTCTTTTTTCACTTTAGTGTTAAACTTTTTCAGTTTACTGTTCAAATTGTTAGAATAATCATTATTATTAAATGGTCAATTCCTAAATTCATTTGGTCTCAATCTCTTTCCCCATCAGCAGACTTAGATTTGGAACACTGTGCCTAGAGTTGTTGGCCTGGTAAAAAATGGGTTCCTAAGAAAGTGGGTAATTCATGGTTAGCCTGTCACCAAATTAATCTGCAATTCTCCATACTTTTCAGTAAGACCACATGGAAATTGTTCTCAACTAGGATGTTTTTTGCCCTGTATACTTTTTTAAGGTGAATTGTCAAGCTGGCCTTTGAATTCTGGAATAAGCTAGGGTGGAGCTTCTTGTTTTCATGAAAATAGCTATTGTGGCCAACTGCTAGGATCTGAGTGACAGAACGGCACACTCAGGACCTACTTGGCAGTGGCCATGCGGAGTACCAGCAGCTCTGAGAGGTGAACCAAAAGGCACAGCCCCCTCCTCCCCTACACCATCTGGTGTGAAGTGGCAACTTCCCTTTGCTACTAAGGAGGTTAACAGATCTTTGGGAGATCCAAGAGCATAGAAACAAAGATCTCCTGAACTTAATATCTTTGAACTAGACTTTTGACTTTTAACTCCTTCATTTTACAAGTAAGGAAATAGATCCAGACGGATTTGCTCAATCACTGGTGGCAATTTAACCAACACAAAGGCCCAGGTCTCTTGACTTCCACCCAGAGCTTTCCCACCACACCATGTCACTAGCAGAAAAAAAAAAAAAGAAATAGCATGTCATTTAAGTCCTTGAACTTATCAGCAGGCTAAGGAAAATCAGCCACTAATCATCTGGCAAAGACATTTTTAGCAATGTGTTTCACACTTTCTGCACCTTACGGAAAGTGTTTTTGGAAAAATTATTAGTAAAGAACTATGAAGGAACTCTAAGACTCAGCTGATACTCTTTCTAAATAACAAAATATTATTTTTGGCAGGTAAAAAATTCAGCTTATACTTCAGTGGAAGGAACATAGTTAGGGTACAGGGTAGGCCCAGTTTATACACATAAAAGTGAACAAGTAGTCAGCTATTTTTAAATGCACCTACCCATTCCCATGACTAGATGATCCAAATTCTGAGCTTCTCAAAGGATGGAAGTAGGTTATTTCTCTTTTGCCACCCACTGATTACTTCTATAATACTGCATTTCAAACAAAATTATATGAAGCTTATTTGCAACTAGGATGATACATTAAAATTCTGTGGGAGCTTAATGACATGACATACAGCCTTCTACAATTTCCCTAGTTATAAGGATCTTGAGAAAGTCTAAGATTTAGACTGTATAGACCTTTTCCAGTCCTATAGCAGTCCATTTTTCTTTCCTCTAATTTGTGTTTATTTTTTATGAAGTAGTTCTAACAGAGAAGAGCAGAGCAGTAACATACTGGACTTCGTGTTCCCACTATCAACACTACCAAAATCTAAAATTTTTGCCATACTTGTCTTCAGATTTTTTAATAAAGTAAAACATTACAGATATGATTAAAGGCTGTTGGTTACTTCTTCATAATACAATTCTTTTCCTACTCCCTCCCTGAAATGACTGCTATCCTGAATTTGGTATTTATCATTCCCATGAAGGTTTTTAAAATCCACACATGCTGTTTTGCATGCTTTTCCAACTTTAAGTAAATAACACCCTTTTAACATTTGCTTATCCCACTCAGTGCTTCTGAGGTTTATCCACACTGATCCATGTAACTATTAATTTTAACCCATTACTGTATGCTATTGTCTGAATATAGCACAATTAATTTTCCTATTCTCCTATTGATGCCCATTTGTTTTTTTCTCATTTTACGCCTTCTAAACAATGTTGCAATAAACATTTTTGTACATGATTCTTTATGCATATGTGCAAGGGTCTTAGGAAACTACCAAGTAATGATATTTCAGGATTGACGGTTAGGCACACTTTCAATTATTTATTTTGCTAAACTGCTCCCTAAAGTGGTTGTTTCAATTTACAGTGTGTGACAGCCCCTACTGCCCACCAACCTTACCAAAATTTGATATTGTCAGACTTAAACATTTATTTTTGGCAATATGAAGAATGATTGATATTTTAATGGCCATTTTCATGATTACTAGATGAGCATTTTCACCTATTTATTGCCCAATCAAGTTTCCTCATCAATAAATTAGCAACTTGCATCCTTTTCCCATTCTTCTAATGAATTGTTTGTCTTTTCTAAATGATTTGTCAGTTATATTTATCACATTCTAGTCTATCTTTACATTTTATTTAGGATGTCCTTTTTATCAGAAGTTTTAAATTTTAGTGTAGTCAAACATTTATTTTTCCCTTTATGTTTCACTATTTTAAATTCTTTTTAAAGGAATTCCTCCCTCCCCAGCATCATAAAGTTTCCTATTTTGTCTTCTAAAAGTTAAAACATTTTTCTTTTCAAGTGTAAATCTTTACCTATAACTTATTTTTGAGTACAGTGGATAAGTTTTTCTCTATGGATAATCCATTACCCTAGAACAACTTACTGAACAGTTAACCTTTTCTTCACTGACTTGTAATCTCTCCACTGTCAAATATCAAGTTTTATATCTGCACAGGTTTGTTTCTGGGTCCTCTACTCTGGTTTTTTTTGTTCTATTTATCTGTCTCTGTGCCAACACAATACTGTATTCATTTACTGTAAATTCACAGTAAATCTTAACATCTGGGAGGGTGGATTCCCCTACCTCATTCTTCCTCAAAACTGTAGTCCTACCACACACATTTTGGAATCAGCTTGTCAAGTTCCAGGAACAGTCCTGTTGGTATTTTGCATGTACCTGAATGGAATTTTATAAATTAATTTGGGATTTCAACTGCTTTTTGGATGATAAAGATCTGTTGGCTGAAAGTCGGACTAACATTTTTTTTCTTCTCAAAGCAATAATTACATGCCTTATAAACTGCTATGCCTCCTGTTTATAGACATAAATTCAATCATGAAATATATATTATAAAGCCAATAAAGGAAAAAGCCTGTAACTTCCTGAACCCTTAGTTCTACTCTAGATATCTATCTTAAAGTAATCCAAAATATGGGAAAAACTAGCTGGATACAAAAAAAGATGCTCATTGCACATTACTTACAGTAAGAAAAAATGGAAATAACCTAAATATTAGTGACACAGGGACAGTCAAATAAACTAGAATAAATACACCAAATGATAAACTATGATGCCAATTAAACTACTGGCCCTAAAATCTGTATATACAACAATGAAATAGTGTTCACTTAGAGCATTAAATGATAAAATTAGTTACCAGTTTTGTGTATAATGTGAATACAGCTGCAGAAAATAACATTTTCAAACATGTGGACAGGAAATAAAATTTACTAAAATCTTTACAATAGTTGGGTTAGGAGTATGGAATTGCAGGTTAGATTTCTCCCACCTAACCTACTTAGAAAAAAAGAAATCTATTGTGTACAGTTTCTAGGAGGTGATTTCATTGTATTTGTATTGAAGAAAAAATATTAAAAAGGAAAAGCAGGTGTTATTGGGGTGAGTTTTCTTTCATAAAAAATTAATTTTAGAAACATTTCTAAATAAGTAATAAAAGTAAGCAGTACTTTGGTGCTTCATTTAAGGTTCAAAGAAAGAAAAGGCAGAAAGCAAAGCATTCAAATTCTGACACTCTGGGTTTGGGTTCTGGCTCATTCACTGATTATTTCAGTAACTTTTGGGAAAGTATCAGTCTATTCTGTCAGTTAAAAAAATGAAAAAATTTAGTCACATGGATTAGTCAGCAAACCTTTTCCAAACAAATAAGTCTTCATTAAAGTAACTCTAAAATTTTACCTAAGTCATCCACAACAGAAAGACTGCCTATTTGAATTTTCTCTCAAGCATAGAGAATAAGGATGGAGAGTTTTGCCCTTTGAAACTGCAAACAAATGCCCACATTATTTCTGTAGCCTCCATTTTACCTTAAAGACATGAAAGGCTTCAAACTGAATGTTGGGGCTTTTATCTCGAAGGAGGTTCATCATCAGCTTCAGGTTCTCTGGCTTGCTGATATACGTTGTCATAATGGCAAAGTTGTGTCGGTCCAGGATCAGTTCACCTAGCAGCTACAGAGAAAGAAAGAATCAAAGCTATAATCTACCTGGTAGTAATCGTATTCAAAATATTCTTCTCAGAACTCTTCTCAGTGAAAAAATATGTAATATGTAAATGTGGTTAAGAATGTTGACATGAAAAAAAGCAAGAATCCTTAAGTGCATCTTAAAGCACAGGCATGAAAGCAGTAGTTATTAATCTTTTCAAACAGGTTTGCTAAAGTGAGTGCTGAATGCATTTCTGAATCTTTTTTTTAAAAGTCAGTCATTGTAGCAGCTTAAGAAAGCTCTTTCTGCAGCTCTCATCAAGGGCTAGCTAGAAATGAATTTATTATTTTTTCACCACTTACTTAAATTAACTTGCTTCCTAATGATGTGCTGCTCCTTAGGCACTGAGGTAGCGTAAGAGTAACAAAATGGACTCCACAGTTACCTCCTTTACCTGAATAAATGTACTCAGGGATCTTACTGGAAAAACATGTTAAGTGACTCTTACTGCCCCCCTAATTTTTATGACAAAACCTGAAATATAGCCAAGAAAAAAAAATCACTGACTCTGAATCTAGATGAAGTTTACTGCAGTAAGTTTTTATTAAAGAAAGTAAAGCATGACATTTTCTGGTGACAAATTAATAGTTTCAAAAATGCAGCATTACTCCATGTTATTAATTGAGTGTTTATGGGGGGCCCCACCCCTACCCCCAAATCTATACACTGAAATCCTAACCCTCAGTGTGATGGTATTAGGAGGAAGGGCCATGGGAGGTTAGGATACGTGGGTGGAGCCCTCCTGAATGGGATCAGTGCTCTCCTAACAGGATCCCAGAGAGTTATCAATTCAATGATTGCTATTCCCTCATGATCTACCAGCCATAGGGGAAACAGCTGAAATCTTCTTCAGCTCCTGTCTTTCTCTTGCTCCTCATACCAAATCTATATCCAAGATCTACCAAACATCTGTTTTTAAGTGTCTTAAACAGCCTCCATTCCACTTTTGTTGCCAGTATCCTCATTAAACCTTCACTACTTCTCCTCTGGACTTGAAACAGCACACAAACTGGTCTCTTCTGCCTTCACCCAATCCATTCTGCACACTATGTGAACAGAATCTTCCTGAGCATCAGTCCTATTCATGTTACTAACTCCGCTTATAAAGAGAATGGATAAACAAACAATCCCCGGATTCCTATGGGTTTAGGATGGCATTCAAAGCCCTCTGTGATCAGGAATCATTTCTACTGCTCCCTTACTCAGTCTTCCTCATTCTTTTGCTTCTCTGGCTTTACCACCCTTGCTCCAAATTTTTTCCCTAGTAGTATTATTTAAATATAACTGACAAAACCATATATACTTAAAGTGTGTATCACAGTGATTTGATATATGTATATATTGTGAAATATTTACCACAACCAAGTTAGTTAGCACATTCATCATCTCACAGTTAACTTTTTCTTTTGGTGTGTGGTGAGAATGCTTAAGATCTTCTCAGCAAAGTTTAACTATATGATGCATTATTAATTGTAGTCATTGCTATAACTTAGAGTCTGGAACTTACTCATCTTAAAATTGATAGTTGGTACCCATTGACCAACACCTCCCATTTCTCCCACCCCCCACCCTCGGCAGCCACAATTCTCTTGTTGTTTCTATGAATTTAGCTTTTCTCGTAGGCTGACTCACCTCTATCCCCTCTGTCTTTGTTTTTTCCTAGTTGTACTCCCTTTGCCTTGTTGTCTAGAGGTACTTGTGAACCTCTTTAGAAGGTAGGCTCCTTAACGGCATCTATCAGATCTTGTTTGTGTTTGTACCCTTTACAACCTAACTGTGATATGTGTGGATACCATTGGGGAAATAAAGTCCTACCAACACAGAATCCTGTCCACAAAATGTAGAAAAGAAAAAAAGTAGTTTTATTATTGAATAAACCAACACAGAAGGTAATCTGTGAAGAAGACATTACAAAGACAGATAAAATTCCACTTTATTCACACAGCCAAGAAACTACAATCCATTTCATACATATGTTCTCAACATGAAAGGTAACCAGCCCCCATAAGAGGCCCTGACAGTGCCATTCACTGTGCACCCCCCCTTTCACGGTTTACCCTGAATTCACCCAGTCACTGAGGTAGTTATTTGTTTTACCTAATTGTCTTTGTCTAACTAATAAAGAGATAATCTGACAAGGAAATGGTTACAGCTTGAGAGAAGCACCAAGGTTAAGCTCCCTTAGTGAGAGGGAGATAGGTGTGCTGTCTTCCTTGACATCTGTATTTCAGAAATACCTGAAAGGAAGGTTAGAAGGAAGGAAGGAAGTTAAAATTTAAGAACAACAACAACAACAAAAAACCATTTCTGCGTTGTAAAACTGACAAAAAGCTTCCAAAGATATATATAGGTGTGTGTGTGTGTGTGTGTATGTATAAAACTTCTTTATTGAGAAATCTATCTATATGTAGTTATAGCTTCTCTATAGATATACATCTGAAGATATATATTTATATAAAAATATGTAATCAAATATATACATTGCTATATATACAAATATATATATATAGTACATACATACACATATCAAAAGGTCTTTCAGCATCAAAGAAATTTCATTAAAAAATTTATCCTTAAATTTTTCACATGCACACACATTCAATAAACATTTGTTGATGTGGCATTTATGAGTAAAATTTAGATTAAGTCATTTCAATTTTTATTACGTGGGGATGCCTATATAGAAATTCTAATTAATCTATCCACTGCTAACATAATTTTACAGCTTTTCTGAAACAACCAATTGTGTTAAATCATGTGGTGAACAACACTGACTCTTAGAGCCATTAAATATTAATCTATTTTAATTAATACAGCCAATCATAAAATGCTGTACTTCATTATGAAAAAAGTATTATAAAGCAGTATTATACTGAGGAAATGGAAAGAAATTCAAATTTTACTTCTTTACATTTAATTTTCCACATTAACAAAAAGAATAAAACCACATGATCATCTCAATAGATGCTGTAAAAGTATCTGACAAAATTCAACATCCATGCATAAAAATTCTCAACAAAATGGGCATAGAGGGTACATACCTCAACATAATAAAGGCCACATATGACAAACCCACAGCCAACAACATACTTAATGGTGAAAAGCTGAAAGCTTTTCCTCTAAGATCAGGAAAAAGACAAGGATATCCACTCTTACCATTTTAATTCAACATACTACTAGAGGTCTTAAGCACAGCAATCAGACAACACAAAGAGATAAAAGGCATCCAAATTGGTAAGGAAGAAGTTAAACTGTCACTATTTGCAGACAACATGATATTATGTATAGAAAACCCTAAAGACTCCACCAAAAAATATTAGAATAATTGAATTCAGCAAAGTTGCAGAATACAAAATTAATATACAGAAACCTATTTCATTCTTTTATACTAACAACAAATTAGCAGAAAGAGAAATCAGGAAAACAACTCCATTTACAATTTCATCAAAAAGAATAAAATACATAGAAAGAAACCTACCCAAGGAGTTGAAAGACCTATACTCTGAAAACTATAAGACACTCATAAGAGAAATTAAAGAAGACACAAATAAATGGAAATCTATCCCATGCTCACAGATAGGAAGAATACAGCCATGGAGAATATAGTCAATGATTTTGTAACATCATTCTATATTGACAAATAGTAAAGGTAAGGATTTAGTATTTTGGGTAACTGTTGAAATATTGTCTACATGGCAATTCTGTCCAAAGGAATTCAAATATTCAATGCAAAATACCCAAAGTACTTTTCAATGAATTAGAACAATAGTTCTAAAATTTATGTGGAAACCACAAAGGACTCCAAATAGCCAAAGCAATCCTGAGAAAGAACAAGAGAACTGAGGGGATTATGCTCCCTGACTTCAGGCTATACTACAATGCTACAGTAATCAAAACAGTATGGTACCGGCACAAGAACAGACCCATAGATCAATGGAACAGAATAGAGAGCACAGAAATAACCCTATGCATGTATGGTCAATTAATATGTGATAAAGGAGCCATGAAAATAAATGGGGGAAAAGACAGTGTCTTCAATAACTGGTGCTGGGAAAACTGGACACAAGAGAATAAAACTGGATTACTGCCTAACTCCATACACAAAAATAAATTGAAATGGATCAAAGACCTGAATGTAAGACATGAACCCATAAAACTCTTAAAAACATAGGCAAAAAGCTCTTGAAAATAAATATGAGCAATTTTTTCCTGGACACATCTTCTTGGGCAAGGGAAACACAATCAAAGATGAATAAGTGGGACTACATCGAATTAAAAAGTTTCTGTACAGCAAAGGACACCATCAGTAGAACAAAAAGGCAACCTATGGTATGGGAGAATATGTACATAAATGATTTATCCAATAAAGGGTTAACATCCAAAATATATAAAGAACACATATAGCTCCACACTCAAAAACCAAATAACCCAAATAAAAATGGGCAGAGAAGCTGAACAGACACTTCTCCAAAGAAGAAATACAAAGGGCCTATAAGCTCATGAAAAGATGCTTCACACAGCTAATCATCAAGGAAATGCAAATTAAAACCACAGTGAGATATCACCTCATACCAGTTGAGTGGCCACTATCCAAAAGAAAGAAATAACAAATCCTGGTGATGGTGCAGAGAAATAGGAATCCTCCTACACTGTTAGTGGAACGGCAAATTGGTGCAACTGCTGTGGAAAGTAGTATGGAGGTTCCTCAAAAAACTAAAAATAGAAATACCGTTTGACCCAGTAATTGCACTTATAGGAATTTACCTGAAGAAAACAAAATCCCTGATTCAAAATGATATATGTGCCCCTATGTTTATCGCCGCACTGTTTGCAATAGCTAAGATATGGAAACAACCTAAGTGCCCGTCAATAGATGAAAGGATAAAGAAGATGTGGTACATATACACAATGGAGTATTATTCAGCCATAAGAAAAGAAATCCTGCTATTTGCAACAACATGGAT